ATTGGTCTGTCTAAATTGTCCTTAGGTGTGAGTGTGTGTGTGTGTGTGTATGGTTGTTTGCACTGTGTGTCTCTGTTAACCTGCGATGGACTGGCTCTCATCCATTCCTTTGTGTCATCACGCTTAGACTACTGTAACACTCTTTTTACTGGTCTCAGCAAAACCTCCCTCTCACGCCTTCAAGCCACCCAAAATGCAGCAGCCAGACTCCTAACCAAATCCAGCAGACGAGCTCTCATCACTCCAGTTTCACAGTCCCTCCACTGACTCCCGGTAGATTATAGAATTCAGTTTAAAGTTTTAGTCCTGACCTATAGAGCTCTTAACAACCAGGCTTAACAGCATTCAAACAATTAATAATACCATAAGTGCATAAGTTTTTACAGAAAACATACATTTGTTTCAGATTTTAGCACTTTGGTTACTTAGAAAAGAAAAAAAAAAGACATCCAGCAGGTTTTCCGTCACCTGATAAAAGCAAAAACACACCAGAGTGTTTGTCGTTGAGTTTGAGTGATTATTTAAAATCTCTAGGCACCATGAGGGAAAAAAAGACCCGACGCAGCAGGGGGTTACAGTCAAGAACATCCTTTTTATTCAATCAGGTGCTGCTCTTCTCAAACTGTGTTTTTCTTCTTATGGAAAAGAAACTGTAATTAACACATGCATTTCACCTTAGAGCCCGGGGGGGTGCTCTCTGCTCTCAGGGCTCTGACAGGTGTAAAAGGGGAGTCGTGGGTGAGGGTGGGGAGGCTGGGCTTGTCTCATCAGTAACCATACAACATTTAGGAAGAAAAGACCAAAATAAACAACAAAACAAAGAGTCGGAGCGGTCCGGCATGAGGTGGTCAGAGGGAATGAGTGGAGGGACTTGGCTGATGACTCTTAAATTCGAGCCGTCAGGCCTCTGCTGGTGTTTCTGCCGTCTGGTTGATGTGCTATCACCGGCTAATACTGCTGAGGGGCTCACTGTGTGGAACCATCGTAAACAATACCTCAGATTTTTTCTCTCTCTCTCTCTTTCAGAGAAAGTCGAGCCCCCTCTTTCAGCCTCATGTGGGACAAGTCCGATTAAGGTGCTTTTTTATTTTACAGTCCAAAGCGTCCTCTAAGAGAGCTTAACGACAGCATACCCTGATAGCAAATATCGAAAAAGGAATCCAAATTTGAAAAAGAAACAAAAAAGGGGAAATAAAAAGAAAGCCAAGGTATAAATAAACAAAAGTCATCCTGGTCTGAACAGCCTGGTACCAACCTCCCAAAGCACTTCATCCAGCCCTGTCAGCCTTTGACCCCGCCGTCCCTTCCTAACCTGCCCGAGGACACCCCCAAAGGCCCGCCAGCGTAATTTGTTCACTTACATTAGCTGCTGAATGGAGAAGCTGAAGAAGATGGGTATGGTATTACAATGTGAAGCATACAGACAAGAATAACATGTGAGCTAACTGCATTCTGCTCAGACACAAAGTTCTTCTGCAAATATTTTTTTTTCTTTTTTTTCCTCACTCCTCACCCTCCCGTCGGCAGAGAGGGTGGGGAGGGAGAGAGAGAGAGAACGAGAGAGACGGAGAGTGACGGACACACAGTTACAGACTACTCCAGTGTCTAAGAGAAAACAGACAGTGGAGACGGAGGAAAAGAAAAAAAGCAAGAGTTGAACAAGAACAAGTTTTTTTGCCTTTTCAGATTTTTTCTGTCATTTATCCATAAAAAGTAAAGAACTAATTCACACCAGTTTCTTTTTGTACTTTACAAAGGCGCATATCTATATTTATATAATATAAACATATAGATACACAGCTTTGAAAATGAAGAAAGGATAGAAGGGAGGAGCAATGGAGGAGGGGATTCATTTGGAAGCCAGACGGAGAGGTTGCGCTTGACTCGTGGCGGCGACCTTTGACCTCAGGCCCAACCTGCTCCCTCTGGATAATAAAAGGAGAGAAAACTGGGAAAATGGGATGATCTGATTTACAAAATGGAGTCTGTGAACAAAAGGCACTTTCAAGGGACAACCTTTACTGCTGGGAAACTATACACTACGGCACGAGCACTAGAAGAATCATTTACAGAGGACTGGGGGGTGAGGGGAGGGGGAGAGGCTCACCTTGGTGGCGGGATCAGAAATGGCTCATTTCTGCCTGATTCTAAGCGACTTTTATCCCCTTTGCTGTTCGTCTGTACAGAAGCTTCAGGCGTCTCACTCCAGCTCCAGATTCATCATGAAAATAGGAAATAAAAACTGTCTCTGGTCGTAAAGCACCCCCCCCCCCCCACACCAGACCGGGGGGGAGGCTTGTGTGTGTTTACATCTATGCTGGTTAGATCTGAATTAAACTGGGAGGGTTGGTTGGTGTTTGCTGGTGAGTTTCAGGCAGTGAAAGGCTAAGTTGAGTGGATTTCTCTCTAAAGGTTGAACCAAAATGCCTTTTGTGCCACAACCTTAAGGAACAGGAACCTCTCCCCTGACTAAATACAAGAAGAAGAATACAAAGAGAGAGGAATAATGCTGCTTCCTAAATGGTTTCGTAGTTTTGTTCGTTCGTTTACAATAGTTCTGAACGTACTTTATAGTGTTAAAGCACCAGTTTTCATCTGATGATAGATTATTCTTTTAAGCTGAGTAGATTTTTTTTTCCTTCAGCCCTCCCACAATTTTATAAACAAAATGATTACACATTAAACATAAAAAAAAGACAAAGGAAGTAAAAACAAATACCCCCAACTTAACAAAGACTAGGATTTTTCATGGCCCTCTAGTTTAGAGTCCCGGAGCTTACGGACTTGAAACAAATACAATTTTTTTTCTCTTTTCTTTTAGCTTTCTTAAAAATCTCTAACAGACAAACACAATGATCTACCCAATGCATTGCACGTGGCTCAATCGACACATAATTTTCAATAATAATACTTTCCATCAAAAACAAACACTTTTCTTCAAACCTACTGTCGATTTTTTCTTTTTTGACGTGACCATCTAGGTATTGTGATGCTGCGCTGCAGGTGGCGTTTGATTCGTAACAGTACGGTTACTGAAACGGGTCGTGTGAGGGGGGGGGAGATAGTTCAGAAAATAACTAGACTGCCAACAAGCTGGTATTAAAGGTTAAAAAGGAGTATATAGCATAAATATATACGTATAACGTCTGTTTCTCTGTCTTTACACACACAAAAAGGTTGCAGTCCTCTATAAAGGTTAGTCCTGGGCCGATGGTTTCCACGTGCACCAACCCCTACATTCCCTGTAGCTTTAGCTTATACGCAGGAGGAGAACCTGAAGTTTGTTACCAATTGCATGAATGCAACACAGAGGCACTTCCATGTTTTGTTAATAGTCTCGATGTGCATGAAGCGAACGTTTTAACGAGGCTGAGAGTGAACTCTCGCTGGTTTTTACCATCCCTGCAAAACGGAACCAACAGCCAGGCAGTCCAGTTATTTTGTGACGTCGGCTTTTCGTTATTGTTGAGTTGTGTGGTGATGACAACAACAGCAATTTTTCATTTTTAAATGTGAACATTTACACAAAAATATCATTTCAAATTAAAAAGACGACTCTTAAACGAATGAAAAACCATTAACAAAGGCGGACTGGAGAACCAAATATAAAGGCTTCCCTTATTTACTCTATATCAGCTTGCCTATGGTGTTAGTGTGTGTTTTATGTGTGTGTGTGTTTGTGTGTGTGGATAATCATGCAGTCTGACTACGGGACACAGCGTGAAACAATGCAAGGGATGCGCGGGACTAGCTGTTGTTACCGTGCCGTCCGTTGTGAGAAATTTGAGAAGCGGTGCTTCCTGTGCAGCTGAAGAAATGAGCGATGCGTTTTCATGACCGACTGTGAACTACAGAAACGTTTGTTGTGACATGCAAGAGAAGGTCAAAACAATTCAGATAATGCAAACCCAAAACCAAGTCTGAAAATAAAAATGAAGAAACAATCCCAAGAAGCAAAATTAAAGCTAATAATGTGAAGCTGACGCTGTGTGTGGATTATGAGGTGGCTGCGAGTGCTGCGCGTCTCAGGGCCAAGACTCTAACGCGACCACAGCTTCATCTCTGCAGAGGCAGGTGACCTCGGCTCACTCCTCTAATCGCCCGTCGGACCTCTGATGTGCAACACTTGTCATCCCTTATTTAAAAACTAATAGTGCATAGGTGAGGGGGGACGAAAGAGCACGTGTAGAGTTAGTGTTATGTCTGTCTGTCTGTCTGTCATGTCTTCCCACTCGCCTCATGGCTATCACTTCTCCCACTAGCAGGACACCCTGAAACTCTGACAGGTAAACAAAGACTAGCCGCTTTAGTGCATTAGTGTCACACCATCAGATGGTGTCACCATGATTGGCCAATCGGGAGATGAAAGATGCTCAGGGCGATGCGAGGCGAGCGGCCGCGGGGTGTGTGTGTGTAGCGGCGCAGGTACGAAGCTGTGGTTCTGGTCTGGACCCGGAGCAGCACCCGGACTCAGGTGGGACTGTGGACCAGCTGTTTCTTTCCACCAACACCATTACATGTTAGTTTGGATCTCCCAGCCAATGCATGGAGTTTCATTGTGGAGACAACAAAATGAAAAGAAAAACCATATATATATGTATATATATATATATATATATATATATATATATATATATATATATATATATATATATATATATATATATATATATATATACATATATATATATATATATATACACACATACATATAGATATATGTATGTGTGTATATATATATATATATATATATATATATATATATACACACATACATATAGATATATGTATGTGTGTATATATATATATATATATATATATACACACATACATATAGATATATGTATGTGTGTATATATATATATATATATATATATATATATATATATATATATATATATATATATATATATATATATACATATATATATATATATATATACACACATACATATAGATATATGTATGTGTGTATATATATATATATGTATATATATATATATATATACACACATACATATATCTATGTGTGTGTGTGTGTGTGTGTGTGTGTGTATAACAGAAAGAAAAACAAATGTTTAATTGGTCATTTGTCAGCTTTCTACATTGTGTTTTCTTTCTGACATTTCAAAGTGTTTGCGAGACAGTTCATCTTCCTCCTCCTGCGTTCTGATCGTGTCCTCTCCGTCTCACCGAAGCCTCCTGCGTGGAAGGGGGTTCCTATTCAAATCGCGTTGGAGCGGGTGTCCTCCCGGGGGTGCTGGGGTGTTCTGTAGTAGGACTTTTGATAGTGTTTGGCGAGAAAGACCTTTTCGCGTCAGCAGTTTGTTCTCGATCAGCGGCGATGCGTTCGTTCTCCAGATTTCCAATTTTCATGACAAACGTTGAGCTGTTGATTCAGAGAGGCCTTGTCAGAGGAACCAGGACTGTAAGGAAACAGAGCATCATGATTTATGTTTGCGGTCATCTGAGCAATTCCAGTGTTCACTTTCAGCGTGCAATGAGAGAGGAATGCAGGACAGTGTGAAGAGGAGGAAGAGTTATGCATCATGAACACAGAACATCAGAACATATTGCACGCAAGTTTTAAACATGCAATCAATCAACCCCCCCCCCCCCCCCCAGCTGTTTGAATGCAAAGCAAAACATGTACATTTGCGTTTTTCTATATAATTTGTTTAAAGTGAGAGCCAGAACACAGATCCAAACATGTAAAAAATGTTGTCGCCACCAGAGGGCGACCTGCTCCTCTTTTCCCTGACCTACTGAGCTCAGCTCCTATGTGAGTTAGAAAAGTTACAACTAAAACTTTGACTGAGCTCCCGTGCCGTTTGACCCAAACACGGACAGTTTTAGTGGAGTTTGCGTGTCTGCTTTCTCTCCATCTGGCCGTCCAAGCGGCCGGCGCAGGACCGGCGCTGCCGTGTCATTTGCCACCGGTTTACGTGTAAAGTGATCCTCCTAACATGTCCGTCCTGTGGGCCGGAGCTGCGTCGGACTACGGTGTAAAAGCTGCAGAGAGCAGCTACTCCAGGGATCGGGTTTCTGTTTGATAAGAGAGCAGCAATGGATGCTTTGGAACAGCCGAGCTGTTCTGGCTGCTGCTGACATTCCACCGGCTCCAGCTCGGAGAGGAGCAGCCACTCACCACACTGTCACAGCTATCTCTCTTCACCCCACCCCCACAAACTCTTAGCCTGAACTCCTAACCCTCTTTTCAGTATTTGCAGATGACACCTCCTTCAGTTTGCTCCAACTTCCCTTCTCCTTCGCTCCAGCTCTCCCAATGTAGTCCTTGGCAGTGGAAACTGACCCCCCCTAACCCTCCTACACTTCAAGTCCAAGTTCAACTGCCTATGACATCATGTCTGGTTGCTGCTGGCAACCAGACAGCCAGGACGTGACTGAGGAGTGCAGCAAGCTACGGCGGACTCCATCTTCTTTTTCTGCCTCCAGTTTTCTGAGTCCCTTTCACTTTTTTTCAAACCAGCTTCCTTATTTCCTCTGCTTGCTCCCTGCATGTCTGAGGCCTCACCACTAGAGAGCTCCTCAGACTAACTTTCATCTTGCTCTGACACAAGCGGGAAGCCTCTCTCCCTCTGTCTTGGCTAGTTGGCTAGCAGGCCACGAGGCGGGCTGGCAGCGCTGTCGTCTGAACCTCGCCATATGCCAGAGAACAGCAGGACAGGGCAGGGACCTCTATGACTCTGTAGCTCAGGCTGTCGCTGACCTACTAGGCTCAGCTAACAGAGCGCTGATGCTACTAAAGTGCACGTTTAAAAAAAATTATTTAGTTAACCAGCAGCAAGAGATAATAAGCACTCTGAGCAGATGTAAGCTGCTGCAAAAGGCCTTAGTTTTTAGGGCGGAGAATGCAAGGTAAGAGTTTTGGCTCAGACTTGAAGTGCATATACGCGGACACACATTTGGACCGTGCTTGGATGTCCCCTCAGTGCCAGAGCTGCATCTGTAGGAGAGCGGTGCAGGTGGAGAGCTCGGGGAGCAGCAGGAGGAGAGAGGGAACGTGGGCCGCCGATGCACGGGGTGGGAGGGAGGAGGAGGGGCAGAGCTGAGCCGATGAGGAATGCAGATCGTTTCCATGTGTGTGGAGGGCAGGAGAACCGAGCTGACTGCAGGCAGGTGCGGTTAGCTCCTAATGAGAAAAGTTGTGATGGTGATGGAGGAGGCCCAAGACGCTACAGCCCCGTGGCAGAGCACAGCCGAGACTCAAACCACAACGTAGTGCAGCGTTGGCCTCACACGCTGCGCTAATACACACCGTGGGGCCTTGTAGAGATAAATCAACACTGCTGGAACCGAAACTGGCACTGATTTCACTCGCTGCGGGGAATCTACCGTGGTGTACGCACTGTAAACCAATACTGGGACTAAAGGCCGTGATGTACTCAGACAACACTCTGCTTCAGCCTAGCTGAAAGTTTAAAATCAGTTCATGGAGTGTGTACACACACACACACACACACACACACGCAGATAGCTTCTCTCTATCATCATAGAGAAACCTGGGGGAAAGACCAACCATCAGCTGAGAAAAAGAGCAGGAGTCGGAGAAAAGCAAACTTCAGTCTAAAACGCTAAAATATTAAAGCTAAAGTCTGGGCACATGGACACAAATAACAGCCACAGATGTGCATAAAAGGATTCATTCAGCCAAGGTTTAGTCACAGAACAGATCGAGTCTGTTTGCATAGCAGAGCGGTTGTCTAAGTATTGCCTTTGTGTCATGACCTCTGAACAACATGCTTGTTCATTCAAACCCAGATCAGCAGCGTTACGAACAGGGCTTGCAGAGGGCGATGAGCAGAGGAGAAGAAAAATAAGAAACAAAATGGAGGAGGAGGAGGGAGAGGTGGACATGTTGATGGTGAGTAAATGAGGGAGGCTGGCAGGGTACCTGAGTCTGCTGGGGGATATTCAGAAAGTTGTCCCGTGTTCCGATGCCGACAAACCGGTTGGGAGCTGTGGAGCCTGGCGTGGAGTATGCTATAAACAGAGAGATACAAGTGTGTACATGCTTTTACACACACACATACACACTCAGCCTGTAGCAGAGCTTGGTGCCCTCACTATCAAATCGATTATGATTGATTAGACAAGAATTAACCGTCTAAAATGTGTCAGATCAGGAAAAAAGGCATAAAGAGGGAGGAAGACGGATTGGTTACAGTGGTGATTTGTTCACACTGTTGGAGTTTTTATTCATTAGAAATAATAAAGGTGATGTTTAGAAGGGGCACGCGGTCTGCAAAGATCAGTGTTTACACCGAGAAGGCTGTTTTCCTTCAGATCTAGTGACAGACGCTCCTCAGCAGCCCCCGGGGTTTAAACCAAACATTCAGGATTCGCTGGGTCTAACCAAGAGGTGACGGAGGGGAGGAATTTACCCATCACCAGTCGTTTACAGGGACAAGGTCTGAGGGGGTGCCGTTTCTACCCAGCGACACTGCTCTGTCGGGACAAAGGATCAAATTTAGGGCAGTTGCGCTCACAGGACTCCAACGTGACGGCTGAGCAGAACCTTGGCTGAACTGAGTGGATGGGGGTGGGGTGGGGGGGTATGACAGTGACAGGACTGGAAGCTGATGCATGTGTGACTGGACCATATGCATCTGTGTGTGTGTGTGTGTGTGTGTGTGTGTGTGTGTGTGTGTGTGTGTGTGTGCATGCGCGCTCCATGAATGTTATTAAGATGTCTTGGGGGGTCACAGACAACATGAGAAGGTGCAGTGATAAGTCAAATGAGGAAAAAAGGACAAAAATCCCAAATTTATTTATTTCTATGTAGATATAAATAAATGAGAGTGACATGTCAATCTGAGCGTGTGGACAGAAAGGAGAGGAGGGAAAGCTGAAAGGAAGGCAAGAGGAGAAAGAAGGAGAAGGAGGCCGGGTAGCTGTTCCCGGTGCCCCCCTCTCGGCGTGCCTCTCCCGTGACCCGACTCTCAGCGCACCTGTCTGGGCAGAACCAACCGCAGCTTCACCGCTCTCAGATCGCACTCCTCCTTCCCGCTCCCCCAGTGCGCCGCTAATTAGACGAGCTGGATAGGGCTCTGTGATTCATGTTTAGAGACACACATTTTACTTTTATTATTTTTTGTACTTCGCTGTGATTTCCTTGTTTTTTGTTGTTCTCAATTTTTAATTGTTGAGAGGATTGCGTGAAAGTGGCGAGGGGATTGCGTGGGTAAAGTGGGGCACCAAGTCGTATTTGGAGTCCACGCCAACTGCCCTAATTTTGTTCCCTTAGAAAGAAAAAAAAGAGAGAAATAAAGGAAAGGGAAACAAAGAAAGGAGGATATGAGCATATATCAAATAAAGAAAAGAAGAAAGGAGAAAAGGGAAATGAGAAACGAGGGTAGATTATGTTGCAGCTGTCGGAGAGACATGCAGAGTCTGCCTTGATCAAAGGCTTAAAGCTACAGAGAAAATGAGCCCTGCTCTGCTTTTGCAAACTATCAAACACATCCAGAAGAAGGGAGGGAAACTACACTGCCTCTCGTGGCGCTGGCAGGAAGTCCGGCACCAGACAGAGATGAAGGAGGAAGAGAAAAGATGGAGGAAGGAGGTAGAGATGGTTTGCAAAGGCATGAAGATAAAAGGAGTCTAAACCTCCGTGCATGAGAGTGAACCCTTTTCAGACATGTACTCTATAAATCTAACAAATCAGCTTCGTCTTTTGCTGCAAAACTCAAGACGTTAAATAAAAAAACAAGATTGATTTTTCTATTTTGGGTGATGCTACACCTAAACTAGCCAGACCAGGTGTTAGTGATGATTAGGATCACTGCGTAATATCAAACAGAACTGGACTCTTTAACGAGACGTGCAAAGCCCGGGTATGCGGGGAGATTTTACTGCAAATTTCCTGGTTGAAGATTTTATTTACATCTCAGTTTGTTCACGATTAATGGTCGTCAACGTTCTTCCTGACTCGCTGAAACTCAACAGAGAACAACGCTTCACGAATCTTGTGACAAAGCTAAGAATCTGTTTCCAGACGTTCTGCAAAGCCCAGTGAGATCCTGGCTTTCGATGCTCACGAGGGTCGTTTATAATTCTATTTTCACAAAACAAACGTAGCACAGGTGAAACTCAACAAACGTTCACTTGTGTCTTATGAAACTAATTCATGGGATAGGCTCGTTCCATGCAAAACCAGATATTTCAGCCTTTATTTGCTACAATTGTGATGCTTTTCTCATAACTTATGAAAACTCCACATTCAAAATCGCAGAAAATTAGAATAATGTGAAAAGATTCAATTTTATAGACTCAAAGTGTCACACTCTAATCAGCTAATGAAACCAGAACACCTGCAAAGGGTTCCCGAGCCTTTAGATGGTCTCTCAGTCTAAGCTGGACTGCTGACGTGAATGGACTTTTGCACCAAATTCTCATATTTTGAGTTTCACCTGTATTTAAAGAGCAAGTCACCCCCAAATAAACTTTTTTTTTTGCTGATAAACTAAATAAACGAGTGTCTAATTGTGCTGCAGACACGTGTCGTCAATAATTTGGTACTTCAGTGCATCTTAGTTAAAATTTAAATATTCTGCCTAAAACTGGCAGTGTTGCGCCGTTGTCAGGTAAAAACTCTGCACTGTATTCTAATTTAAATCTGCCACCGCTATTGGCTAAGAGGTATGCTATGATGTAAACTGGCACATTATGATGTCACAATGCTGTCGTGAGCCTGTGTGTGTGTGTGTATTTGTTAGCAGCTCCGCCCTCTCAGTCTGCCAGGCAACAGCATTTGTTGCATTTTTCAAACATGAAGTGGGAGTGGAGATAGACTCTGGTAGGGGTTGACTTGCTCTTTAAACTTCTTGTAATGACTGTTTTCCTTGAAAGTGGCTGAAATTCCAGAGACGTCTATGTTACTGGTAAAAGAATAAAACAATGTGAGTGGTTTGTGAGAGACCGAATGCTTTAGTGGACCAGTAAATGTCTGAAAAGGGCCACAAGGGGGGGATGGAAGTGGATCTCTGGTATGGCAAAGGCGTGGAAAAAACTGCAGGTGCAGAGCGGTGGCGTACGGATGATGGAGCAAAGAGGAGTGAAGCTCCTGGGGCTGCTGAGTGTTGGCCGAGGTGGACTGTTACCGTACACATAGTAACAATCCTTAACAGGAGTAAAGCTACACCTCCTCTGTGTGGGCTGGTGGAGGAGGATAGATTAGCTCCAGCCGGCCTTTATAAGCAGTTTCTGGGGGCGACTGGGCAAAAGTGCGGGTTTGTAGAGGGGAGTGGGAGAGGGGAGTGACTTACACGGAGATGCGGGTGAGCTGAGTCCACCGTCAGTGGGCGTGCTGATGGTTTTAGAGTCGGGCATGGGGAGGGGCACGGGGCGCGCCACCGGGGGTGGCGGGGGCAGCAGGAAGGAGCCCGGCATTTTGCTCTGGCCACCTCCATTGGGCTGCAGATGGACCATACAGACAGGGTGAGGAAGACACACCCCGAGAATACACAGTGCATAGGGAGCATCACACACACACACGCACACGTACACTCACTGCCTCTGGGACACATAAATATCAGAGACACACACTCGCTCACAAGGAGTCTCACGTTTGTCTACATAAAACAAAACCTTCCACTCCTAACGGCGGTGGGGAATGGAAGGACATCAGGAGAAAAGAGATGAGCATCGTCACACAGGAGGGAAAAGGAAAAGTGATGCTGTCCGTGGAAAGATGGTGAAGGATCGTTAGCACACGTCACTGGAGAGGGTAAAACCGTGTGTGTGTGTGTGTGTGTGTGTGTGTGTGTGGTTTAAACAGGGATCAGTGTGTTAGGTCATGAGAACAAAGGATAATAAGGAATGAGAAAAGGGCTTGATAAGTGGATTCAGTTGCTCAGAAGGCCAGGTTTACAGTAGAGGTTTACAGCACTGCTCTGAATGTGGTGAACGTGCTTCATCCTTCAGAGGTCACTTTAGCGGCTGTTCGGTAACCGGAATGCTCCAGTGTGGACGTATTGTTGTTGCTATCAGAGGGGTTTCTAATCTTCTCTGAACTGAGCACCACAAGAAGCCATAAAGCCCGAACACACACCCCTCTGTGCCCCCACGGGCTTCGACGTTTAGCTTCCTCCTCGTTCCAACTCAACACTTTACCTGGCACACGGCGAGTTTCAGTAGACGCGCTCGTCGGTCGCCCATCCACTTGAGAATCTGACGCGGAGGGGAGCTCTCAGAGGCATAATGGCGTCTTACTTCACTCCATTTACATCACCTAACCCCCCACCACGCCTTAAGCAACAAAACCTTTCCACGTTTGCCCGTGTAGCTGTTCGAGCCTCTTCGGAGAACATTGTTCTTGAAAGTCAAAGAGCGGGACTAAAAACGGCAGGTGGGACATTTCCTGGAGTGCAACTGTAGCTTTAAACAGCTTCTCTGGGATCAGTCCACGGATTGTACCAATAGAACAGATCTTCAGTGTCAAGAATCCCTCAGCAGCCTTGTCCCATGGCTGCAGCTACAGCTGACTCAATGCCAGTTGCCAGTTCAGCCCAATCTAACCATTTCATACCTGTCTGCATGTCTGAAACGCTAAATCTGTTCCAGCTCGACATCGTGGAGTGTCTCATACCAGTGATGAGTCAAAGGTGGTTTGGATCCCTCCCTTAAACGTTCTTTCTATTGCAGCACGGCTGCCTGCTTCATCCTGTTGATGTATTTGCCCTTAAACCTTCCCCGACGATCTGGTTTCACTTTATGGAAATTGCTCTATGTGCAGGTTCTGGCTCACTTGACCTCGCTGTTCCTGCATAAGTAATAAAAAATGAAATGATCCTGCGAGTCCTTTCACATTCTGACTGCTTCCTGGATTCCTGCCTTTTATTACACAGCTTCTTAGATGGTTTTTACTGCAACAGTGTTTCTTTCAGTGTTGCTCCTCATCACAAAACACACAACAGCCTCCCACAGTCACCCCTCCACCGCTATGCAGAAGCCACTAATCCCTTACCTGTGCACTGGGCTGTCCTGTGCCGTCGGTGCACACAAACTGCACAAAGTCCTTAAGCGGGTCCTGGTGATGGTAGCGTATGGTGGGGTGGGTGAAGTACGGGCTGGACTGCTGGATGATAGAGGAGGAGGGGAAGTGCAGGGCTGAGGCCGGGGCACGGGGACTCCCTGAGAAGAAAACGGTGATAGGAAACAAAATGGTAAAACGTGAGAAGACCTTTAACTCTGCGTGGAAACAAAGTTTGAAGTACACAGCTGGTAGGTTAAGACTCCATTATTGTGTATTATTGTAGTAACGAAGGAGACAAACGGCATCTTTTTCATTTTGTTTGACTGACTAAAGCTGTTCCTGTCTCTGTAGACGGCGGACATTTTCCCTGGCTACTGGAGAACATCTGGACTCATTCATTCTACAGATCTGCCCACAACGTTTCTTTGTAGCTCTGGTAAGCTTGGAACACACACACACACACACACACACACACACACACACACACACACACACACACACACACACACACACACACACACACACACACACACACGCACACACACACACACGAGCTAGTGTGTTGCCGTATTTTCTGCCTTCTTTGCCTTGCTTTCACACACTTACACACACACACTCGCACACATTAACCCACAAAAGAAGGAAGGAGTAACACACTCTCACACACAATTTTTTCCCCCTTCCACGGCTGTTTTATAGCTTGTCAGTGACGTCTAATCAATCAGAGGAAGAGCTGCGTGGTTCTGCCCAGCAGCTCGATGCTTGGGAGAGAATCTCCCCTCTGCCCCTAACTGACCACAAAACACCTCCCAGAGACATTAGTCAGCCAACCACACACACACACACACACACACACACACACACACACACACACACACACACACACACACACACACACACACACACACACACAGTGGCTGGTCTGCTGTGATTCTATGGTGTTGGAAACCAAACTAAAGAGGCAAGCTGCTAGGTGACTGGAAGCCTGGTGAACAAGCATCTGTGATTCTGTCTGTCACCCTCGATTCTCTCGTCTATAACGTCCCTTACAAAGTAAGTTCATCCCTGGTTTTGTTTAGCTGGTACCACCGGCTTGCTGAGTGTGCTGGTGAATTTTTGTGTGTGTGTGTGTGTGTGTGTGTATTGTCTGTCCGAGCTTCCATGTGTTTTTTATGCATACTGGTGTAAGTGTGTGTAATTGCTGTCATAATGGCTGACTCTCAAAGCTAGTTTATTCAGGCAAACCGTCAGCCTGGCAGCTCTCCATGTGAGCGCGGAGCCAAAAACGGGACGTAAACCATCCGGTCCGAACCCCAGAACAGCCACACTTACCAGACCTGCACGACAACAACTAACAGCTTCAGCCCATCCAGGATGCGCCTCGCTAAAACCATTCCTCTCCCTCCTCCGTCTACCCTCATCGCTCTTCTTACCCGTCCTCTTCTCTCCTTCCCATCATCCTCCGGTCTCTTTATGAATCTAAGGCCTCAGAGGGACGTTTCATTTGGACAGCAGCCATTTTGGTACTGAGAGTCCTCCACCAGGGTGTAAATGTACACACAAATGCGTGTGTGTTGTGTAGGTACACAAAAGCACCAAGACGCATTTTCTAAACACTGTCTCATTACAGCATATCCGTTACAGGAAAACATCCTGGCTGTCGGCTCTCGCTGTACTGGGAGAGTGCAGAGATTAGCGGGGGGACACAGAAAGTTGAGCCACTCATAGAAAACACGTTTCGACTCCAAATGTAATCTACTGCTTTGGATTCATCGGAGGACCTGAGCATGCTCCGTGCAGATAAACAACACGGCTTCATTGTGCAAAAGCAGACAAGAACACATTTACTAAATATACCGCAGGGAGCACCACTAGCAAAATTTAATACGATGGGCAATGAGTCCAAATGACCTTTACATGGCAGCTCTGCTTTGGCCGCGTACCAATCCTGCCCTCCGAGAGACAAACGGAATGGGAAGGAGAGACAGTGAGAGGAGGACACAGTTATTTCTTTGAAAAGTGAGACCACCCTATTGGGACTTTTTGGCAAACTTGAGACGCCGGGGACGTTGGGAATTTTCTCCCTCTAGACAAAGTCACTGGTTATCCTATCCGACCGAGAACGTCTTAAGAGGACAGCTTGCCCTTAGAGCCATTTGTTTAGTTCAGAAATGCCAGGCATAGATGTAGTTTTTTATTGGGGGGGGGCATGTCCCCCCTCCTTTTCCAAAGTCATTTTTTTGTCCCCTGCACTTTTTACCTTCCAAAGCAATATTATGCTATATTAAATAGACACTGGTTGAGCACTAGGACCAAGAGGAAAATAACCACTCGTGTTTCCCGTCAGAACCCTGCATGAGCTCCTCTATTGGCTCTGCTGATACTTGCTAACACATGATTGGCTGATCCTGCCACCTGTGTATAAAAGAGCCTCTGGGCTGTAGCTTTATACATATTTTTTGTACACTTACTGTAAAGACAACCCCCCCCCCCCCCCCCCCATTCCTCGTGCACCTAATAAATACTGTAGTGTTCCCCGCTGCGTCATCCTGCACATTTTCAAAATTAGTCTGCTTTCTTAAAGTAGCAATCTAGGGATCCTACCCTGTTCTCTCACATAATATGTGACATATTAGTATGAGGATTGCTGTATAGTCACTGACACTAGTCAATTTGCTGGGTTCCTTATATAGGAAACATTATTTCTGATTGGCTTAATGAACTGACCTGAATTGGAATGTTTATTATGTGAAGTGCCTTGAGACGACTCTTGTCGTGATTTGGCGCTATATAAATAAACTTGAATTGAATTAATGATGGTAATGATTGTATGTTTTGCTAAGCTCATCCCCAATTTTAACAATTTTTTAATAATTGCTGTTTTTTTCCAATTGTACCTAGCTTCCTGAATGATCCCTACATATACAAAGAGTGACTGACAAGCTAACAGCTAGTCCAAATCCAGACATTCTAAAATTCCTCCAATGTTATTTTGTACAAAAAACGTTTTGCACTACAGATTAAAGTTAAGCAGGTCCCATTAGTCATCATCACACACTGGTGAAATTCTTCTTCACACTTGACCCATCCCCATGGAGGGGAGGAGTGAGCTGCAGCTGTGGGCGCGCTAGGGAACTCTTTGGTGATTTAACCCACCAATCCAACCCCTCTCAAGCTTAGAGTCGAGCCGAGACGCGTTGGGTCCCATTGTTAAAGTCTTAGGTATGACCTGACCGGGACTTGAACCCCGATCTCCCAGTCCCAGTCACTCTAGCACTGGGCCACTGAGAAGGTTATTTATAAGAAATTCGGTTTATCCATAACAACAGCAGAAGCTAAGGTAGGAGCTCTAGAGCATCCTGGTGTCAGGTAAGGCAGGAAGTTTAGAATATTTATATTACCAGCTCAGTGACCTAGTGGTAGAGTGTCCGCCCTGAGACTGGGAGATCAGGGTTCGATTGCTGGTCGGGTCATACCAAAGGTTTTGAAAAAATGGGACCCAATGCCTCCCTGCTTGACACTCAGCATTAAGGGGTTGGATTGGGGGGTTAAACCACCAAATGGTTCCCGAGCGCGGCTGTGTCTGCTGCTCACCGCTTCCCCAGGGGATGGGTCACATGCGGAGAACAAATTTTGCACACACACCTGTGTGTGTGACAACTAATGGGACTTTAACTGAGCGCCGTTATGGCTGCTCTCATGGTCTGCCTGCATCTGTCCTGTCTATATGTGTATGTGTAATCTTGGTCAGGCTGTTCTGTGCAGTCAAGTTCCTATGCTCTGGAGCGCTGGTAATAAAATTCTTTCTGATTCTGATTCTGAATATTTCTCCTAAAATAATTTTGAAATGCAAAACTGGCAGCAGTGTAAAGTGTAAATAAAGCGTAAGAGCCGCATTGATACTTGGAAGATTGGAACAGTTTTAAGATTGCAGCAACAGACTTTGGGTTTTGCTGTGATCATGCTAGCCATTAGCTCGTCAGTCCTGTTGGACTTAAACACAGCTGTGAGTAAGACAGCGATTGTTTCCAACTTTTAAACAGAAATACATCAAAATCTAAGATACTATACCCTTTAGAGAACATGAAAACAAGACAAAACTTCAACAGCAATGCGTTCCTGTCATATAAAAACGTAGAAGGGATGGTTAGTTATGGCGTTCAATAGCAGATCCACGTTACCAAGTTGCTCCCTACGTAATAAACAATGCTGCTGTTTCTACGTGAGCGAGTCAGATTGGTCCACGGTGAGATTCCCCACATCCGGTCAAAATCATCAGTTCAGAATAAAAGAAGCTGACCTTGACAAACATCACAACAAATCCATGAAGCATTAGGACGTGCAGCTAGCTAATCAGGCACAAAGGCATGGATGCAGCACTAAGTGCCATGCAGTGACGGTATCAACAACACAGGCACAAAGATGGTGGTAATAATGGATGGATGGAGAGAGGCTGAAAGAGAGAGAGAGGAATTTATGCCAAGCCATGATGACAGCAGTAACACTGAACAGGTGAATCTCTGCAGGCATATTGCTTCTCAGCAGTGGCAGCTGTGGGGCTGGAAAGTTTGCTTTTGTTTTGCTTTCTCAGCATCAAGGTTCGGATTTCCATTTTCAGGCACACGACTTAAGAATTGATCGCCCAGAAGAGCTGGTTTAACACTCCCTTTCCTTCTCTCTCTTTTTCAGATCACCAGAGGGGTGGGGTGGGGGTGGGGGAGGGTTGGTTTTATGGCAGGGCTCTCACCTGGTCTCACTCCTGCCAGCACAGGCAGCGGGTGGTGTGTGAACGCCATGCGGGGGGACCTCGTCTGGGAAGTCAGGGCGTTGAAATCAAACTTCCCCGGCTTCTTAAGTGAACCAGGCGAGGACAGTCCTGACGGAAAAAAAATAAAAAATAAAAATAAAAAAATGGGATCAACAAAAAATAAAAAAATAAATAAATTTTTAAAAAGTGGATGTAACAGGGAGAAAAAAGAGAGGATGTTTTATTCAACAAAACACTGCTCCTTTAGTTCACTACACTCAAAAAAAAAAAAAAAGAAAAATCCAGTAGATTTTTAGTGAAGGGGACTTGAACCGTCATGATTTGTTATTTTTATCACTGGCGGTGGAAGTGCTTTGTTCCCATTCCTTCTTGGCTGTTTGCCACTGACTCCTATTAGCATTATTTGGCCACTCAGACTCTGCATTTGATCAGACAATTACAAAAAAGAAGTCATGGCAGCTGATCTTGGGGATAATAACTTATTATTACAGGAACGAGAGAGACTCCCTGCTTGAAAGCCTCAGAAAAGGAGCTGGGCAATATTTAATAAACTTAAAAGTACGTCTTCAAAGAGAAAGACAGTTCAATCCATACTGAATGTGGTCTTTGTCTTGGTGCCAAACAACATCTGTAGCTATAATAATCTCCTCTGCGCCAATGTACGCTTTCCCGTCTAATCTGTTTCTGTCTCTCTTTCAGGTGCCAACTGTAGGGTTTCTCTTTGTGCGAGCAGGGCGAACAGCCACGGTCAACTAGTTGTGGCCTGGCTTCAGCCACGCTCGCAGGCTGGCTGCACGAGGAGACGGCTTCATTCAGAAATAGCACACACTGTACAGTATGGACACAGCAGCTGGTGAGTGCGAAAGACAAGCAGACGGACGGAGAGAGGAGACAGAGGGAGAGAGGCGAGAAGAATGTGGGAGACATGAAAATATGCGAGGGAGCGAGAGAGCAAAGCAGAACCTGTGAAAAATGCAGCAGTGTCTTTTTTTTCTTCATTGCATTGCTCTGACAACATGTATGAAATTGGGATGTCATAAGATGTTAAATATGGTTATTATCTCTTGTGCACACACACACACTCACACACACACACACACCGTAAAGACGGCCGCGTTTGACTGATGCAACAATAGACAAAATTTCCTCCTCTCTAAGTTTTATTCTAATCTTCCTAACGAGTGAGCCGTGCCATGCTGCTCTCTTTTGAAACTTTTTGGGACTTTTGCTTTGTAGTCTATTTCCGTGGCCCCTCCGCGTCAGACAAGGCATTAAATATGATTCCTCCTCAGTTCTCCAGCTGGAGACGTGTGAAAGTCTATGGGAGTGTGGAGGCGTGTAAAACCTTCCCTCCCTGTGAGAAAGAGTTAAGTCCCAAGCAGGTGGGAGTGAATTTGTGTGAACCATTTATGTATTTAGCAGATATATATATATATATATATATATATATATATATATATATATATTTTTTTTTTTATCCACTCCACATCCCTCCCCACCCCTCTTCAGCGGGAGTATGGGGGAGTATTTTACTGTCAGAGAGATTCCAAGCATGAAAACAAGCCCAATCCCACTTCTGACACCAGCAGTTAGCGGTGATTGCTGTGACTGTCACACCAGTGGGAGAAAGGTGGAACTCGTCCGCAGAGGCAGGAAGATGAGGAAACTGAGACTCGAGCACACAAAAGAAAAAAAAAAACATACTGATTAAACCTAATTAGCTGCGTTGAGGTCATCTTTTATTTATCGGGTAAACAGAATTCCAGAACACCAGAAGGAAATCAGAAGTGTGCTGACATCTGCACGTGTGGGCACGTTAAAATATTATCACTATCAGGACATTTTGTGGACAATATTTAGTACTTCACAGACTGTGCAGTGGTCTGATCAGGAATTGTGTTTGTGTGCCAAATCTGTACTGTTTCCTCTTCTGGCAAGCCTTAATATTTCACTGGCAACTAATCAAGCGTTCCCATGATGACCCTTCTGTCTCTGTGCACTAACAGGCCTGCCACCAGATGCGCCTCTGACTGACACACACACACACACACACACACACACACACACACACACACACACACACACACACACGCGCACACACACACACACACACACACACACACACACACACACACACACACACACACACACCACTGTAAAAGTGACACAGGAAAAGTTGGGTGGTTCTCTCTCCTGTGGTTTAGTCGCTTCTGTGGATTAGGAATCGTGCAGCATGCTGCACCTCCCTCACAGCAAGGCCATCGCCGCCTCAAACATCCGGTGTCTCGGGAAAATTTCACAATCATTTGGACCTGATATAAAATCCTGGTTGGTTCTACTGCCTCCTCTATCCTCCCCTACCCCACTTCTCCCCTGTGGAGCAGCTGTCTCCAGCATCCTCGTGGATCTCAAGGCTACACACACACAGAAACACCATCTGGGACTGGGCTTCAGCTGTGCTTGAGTGTGTGTGTGTGTGTGTGTGTGTGTGTGTGTGCTCAGAAATTCATTGGGTCTTCATCTGAATCTGTTTGTGGGAATTATATAAATTAATAAAGCCCCTTCATGCATCTGCATGTCTGCTTGAATATGTCTGAGTGCTTATGGGGGGGTAGAGGGTGTTAACGACCCACCTTCATGCTCCTGTTAGTGTGAGAGTCTGCTGGCTTGTTTATTTGCCCCCCCGCCCCCCACCTGAATGGAAATCCTCAGGCGACATTTGCCATTGACAGGTGGGATTCTTCTGAAAACCAGCCAGACTAGGTTATTTTATTGCTCCTTGTTCATTTTTCTTGGTTTACCTTGGTGTTGTGTGACTGCCATGATTTAGATTTGTTTCCAAACCCACACAAAAGGGGGCTGGTGAAGCTTTTGGCTTTCTTCTTTGGGGTTTTTACTGGTAACTGGGTAAAAAGGTCCGAATCCGAATTCACGAGGTGTTGTTCCGCAGCTTGGATAGAAAGAAGGTGACGAGGCTGGTGAAAACGATAGAAGGAGGTGCTGAACAAGACGCAGGAGCCTTCGCTGTGGCTTTGATGATCAGCCTCTTAATTACATTTACAGCTAAGTGGAGCAGGAGCTGTGGCAAACCCTACCCAAAGACTCTTGGCTCCTCCACTTCACACTCTAATTAACCCCCTCTCTCATCAGCTATCACCATTTCAGAACACCAAAGCCGACTTCTCTCCCAGCGATTCCCTCTTGCACTCCTCATTTTTCCCACTTACTTCTCTAATTTCTAGCTCTCTCCTCCCTCTCTCTCACGGCATGTTTTCTCCCTCAGTAGGGCTCTTCCTGCTGTACACCTTTTCAATTAGACAAAGGGGAGGCAGGGCTGCGCAGCTGGAGGATGGGGTTTACACCTCCGATCCACAGGAGCATCTTAAAAGGGGATTTGAGGCGAGGGCGGGAGTTAGGAGCAGAGACGGGGCGGCCACCTGAACACCTGCAGGGGTGGGGAGCATGATAAGCGAGTGTGATGCAATGTGCAACCTGAGGGAGGCGAGAGAGCTGGCAGTGTGTGTGTGTGTGTGTGTGTGTGTGTGTGTGTGTGTGTGTGTCTATTTACATATGTGCGGAGCATGTGTGTGCATGAGTGTAGGCCCCATGCGAATATGAGTAAGCCATTGTGCAAGTGTGTGCACGTGAGGGCCAAAGTGTGTACCGCTGTGTCAGGAGACTTGGAAAGAGTTAAAGGAAAAAAAGGCACTACTTGTAAACTAGTGTGTGTATGTGTGTGTGTGTGTGTGTGTGTGTGTGTGTGTGTGTTAGTCAACTGAGCTTGATGGAATAAATAAAATCTACTACACACAAGTGAACTCATAACACCTCGTTCTTCTCCTGACTGCATTTCTACAACTTAAATACAAACACACACAAAATATCTGCAAAATGAACATATTTTAGCAACACACACACACACGCACACACACACACACACACACACACACACACACGCACGCACGCACGCACGCACGCACGCGCGCACACGCACACACACACACACACACACACACACACACACACACACAGAGAAATAACCGTGTGTGATAAAGGCTAATAGATAGTGAATAGATATGAGTGTAATCATGTAGTTCTAACCATGGTAAGGAAACTGCACGCCATCGTTTTCATGTTTTATCTTCCTCTCCTGCACACTCGCCAAATGGTGCTGCACTGAAAGTGAAGAAGGGTATTGTTAACAATGAGGTAGAGGAAAGAGAACGAAAGAATAGGAGGAGGGAGAGAGAGAGAGAGAGGGGTGAGTTTGTGTAGGATCAAAGAAGCGAAAGATGATGACGCTCAGATAAACTGGATGGATGGTGGCGGCTTCAGGGCGGGGGGGGGGGTGGGGGGGGGGGTGGAGTGGAGGTGGGTGATTCCCATGGTTGCTGGTTGAAGGATGGGAGTAAAGGGGGATCATCTGGGTATGTTGAAATATTACTATTGAAATTAGCTGCACTCTTTAAATCTTTAGAGCTGACCCTCGGATCCAAATCAAGGATAAGGTCAAAGGTCAGAAGCAACTAGTGAAAAGCCAATCTCTGATTAAATTAGCTTAAAACTCGGTAGGACGTGAATTAATGCATCAATGAAATAAGTCGTTACCATTTTAACTCTTCAGCACTACTTCAAGCGAAAAGAAATCTCTCTCTGCTTAACTGAAATTGGTGACAATGATTACCATAACAAATAAAATTCACTTAAAGTGCAGCAATACATCAAAATCAGTGCACTAAACGTCACAGATGCCATCAGTTACATTACATCAGAGGTGGCTCTGTCTGCCTAAAGGTTGGTTTATGCTTGACGCGTCCGCAAGGTCCGCGTGGAAAAGTTGCGTCATTTTAACAACCACGCCCCTCCACCGCGTCGCCGCTCGGCCCAAAATTTCCGCAACACGCACCTCGGAAATTTTCTAACCACGCGGACGGACGGACGCGGAAAAACATGGCGGACCGGCAAGAACTAGTATGGCAGAGGTTCGTAAATACAGACATTTGTATGATTCAGCTCTCAGAGATCACCGTGATCAACATGTTGTTAATAATTCTTGGAGAGAAATAGCTCGCACTGTCGGAAAAGACGAGGACGCTGTTAAAAATGCTGGAATAAATGTTGTAAACAGTAATTTTTACTTCTACTATGGTGTAGTGTTGAAAGCTTGCCGTAGAGCTCTATGCTGCCCCCTACAGTTTGGGAGAATATTGGCTCACCGCAGAGACGAGCCGCATGAACCATAAACGCTGCGAGTTGTGAAGCGCGTTCCATCCGCGAGCCGCATCACCGCGCGGAAAGTGAATGCGTCAAGCATAAACCAAGCTTAACTCTGACACAGAGGATATCCGGCCTCAGTTTTATCAAAAATGATAAACAAATGTTTTATTTGTGCCTCTGAATACAGTAAATACAACACAAAATGACAGTTGAAGTGCATTTGCCTTAAAATATGCAAAGAATGACTGCAAGAGGCGGCTTTTTAGCTGTTATGGCTACTTGTTGAATGGTCACTGGGCGGATTGAAGGGTGCTGGTGGGTGAGTATGAGCTTTTGAGAGGCGTTTGGGCCAGGACAAGTCACCACAGTTAAAGAAATTCTGTGGTTCGGTGGCGATGAAAGAAAGAAGGTGCAAAAGTTTCATCATGCGTGGAGAGAGAGAGAGAGAGAGTGACAGGCGCTGTGTGGGATGGGGGGTGGGGATACCTGCATCCATGTCATTGGGCCATGCGCTGGACTGGGAAGAGCTGGGAGCAGGCGAGCGTCCAGGGTAAAAAACATCATCTGTGGGACTCTCCATCTCGCTGTCGTCTAAGGACTTCCTCTTGGTGGAGCTGGAGAAAGGGGGACAGGGTAGGGTTAGCCGGAGGATGGCTAAAGGTCAGCTAGATAAATCAACTTTAACTTTAGCTTAGATGAGGAAAACGTCATTTTTGCTCATTTTAGGGCAGAAAAGAAAAAGTGCAAAAAAGTAGTTAGACAGAAGTAAAAAATGGAGGGAAAATTAGCCAATAGGAACCCTGGTGTGTGTGTGTGTGTGTGTGTGTGTGTGGTTTTCTGAGCAAGAATTTAGAACTTTTAGAGGGTCATAACTACCTCCGTGGAAGGTTTGCGTACAACTCCACCTCAGACCTAAAGTGACAGCAGATGACAGAAGTAAGAAGACAAAGAAAAAGAAGCAGAAAGACCATCACACACTCAGAAAGAGAAAATGGGTTAGCACACACACACACACACAAACACACACATATGGAGAGAATCTTGAGCGATTTAGCTCCACTAACAGTTAAACAATGACAGAGACGTCCACCAGCGTTACCAAATCAACACAGTAAAACATTTCTGTCTGAGGCCGGCCCTGCTTCATGCGCTTTAGCAGGAGTTTCCCATTTCAAAGCTCTGCATTTGGGGAGTAGTTTGATGGATGGCGTGATTGTTTTGCCACAGACATTTTACTGCTGATTGCTTCATTACTTCCTGTTAGGAAAAAAAAATCCTAAATGAAATGTTGCCTGTGATAACTGCTGTGTGGAGGAGGCGCCGCTGAGAACAGACAGCGTGTGGTGGAACGGTTTATATGAAATGTCAGAATGAGATGTTATCAGCTATTCTTCATTTGCTGCAGGAAATCTGAGAGAATCTTAGGCAGCCAAGGATCACATTAACAAAGAGCTTTGATTGTTCATCACGTTTGTTTAGACTGCTAAAAGGTGGTTTGATCACACAGACAATAAGTAAGATTAGGGACAAAAGACGAAAATGAAATTCAGGAGTGAAGATGTGTTTTTCTCTATTTTATGGAGAGATATTAGACATGAATTAGTGAAAACACGTCTCCTCTATGTGTCTCACCGATTATCACTGAGTTAAAGACCGAAACCTTTTAATGACACTCATCTGAAAGACAAGCTTTAAAATAACGCAGTCCTAGGTAATCACACAGACCTTAGCCGAACTTCAGTCATAGGTCTATGAAGAGATGAAATCATTTTTAAAATTTAGGTCATTTCCATTTAATCCAAAATCTAACGAGCTTGTCTAATTTATCCGTTGATCGAGAAGTCATTAACAAAATCAACAGAGACGTAGGAAAATTGCAGCACACCGAAATATTGCGATCAGGTATTTATTGTGTGGTGCAATTCAAATTTTGACTGATAGGTGGCGGTAGTTTTTACCGCCTTTATTCTGACAGAACAACGAGAAGGAAGTGAGAGTGGCAAAACTCTGAAGAAGGCTACAGTGATAGTCAAAACGTCGGTGAAAAGAACCGTAATGGAGTTGGATAAAACACACAGCATCAACGTACAAAAGACGTTTAACTCATTCACTGCCAGCCGTTTCCTGATCGCTAACGGCCTTCGCTGACAGCATTTCTCACCGTTTTTACCGTTATTTTTAAGAGTCACAGAACGTTGCGCGCTAGCATGATGTCGATGCCAAAACAACCAAAACAAAGAGGAGACTCACCTCTTACATCAGGAAGAAGCCGCGTGTTTTGAGCGTTATCCGTTCTTTCACAATTCGTTGTCGAATTGTGATCGTCAGACGCTTTTCCGGTTCGCGCCTCACTTTTTTTTACAGGAACGGCCCAAAAGATCTCCAAACACATGGATGGTCTGCTTCCTGATTATGTGATCTGTGACGTATGCGGATGAAGATCGGCTTCAGGGCTGAGATGTTTTTTTCTCTCAGCGCGGGGGCTCGTTCCGATGCTCAAACAGTAAGAAAATGCGAATGACGACTTTAGTCGTCATTGGCAGTGAATGAGTTAAAGAACGAGATCTCGCGATAACACAGGACGTGTCTCGGGAGCGTCTGACCCGAGTTTTCCAGTTACATTCAGTCATATCATCTGGTTTTCAGTATCACTATTATATCAGGGAGGGTGGACAGGGACACCCCTAATCATCAAGTACTTTATTGGAAAACTCTAATAGAAACAGAGGCGGCTATTGCTGAGAAATAGACCCTTCTAGTTGTTCTAAAGTCCAGTTAGAGGGGAAAAAAGGGAATTCAGGAGTGAAGACTGGTTAATAGATTAATTCTGATTTTTTTCCCTCTTTATTTTATCGAGAGATATTAAACAACAAAAAAAAAAAGAGAAAAACTGACAATCCCTGCACCCAGCTAGACATGAAATATGTTTCAGTACAACCTTCCTTCCAAAGCAACACATTCTGACACCCAAAGCGTCAAAATATGACACGTGTGACCAAGCCTCAATGTATGACGATTCGGGATGCCCCAGCGCGTCAGGAGACGATGCATTGAGGACGCACTGTCCCAGAGCGTTGGTATCCGACGGCCGCGGTGAGACGGACATTAGACCTACTTGTGAACTACTTAACCTTCCCCTCACCCCCATTCTAACCTTAACTCAGCTGAGTTACCGAGTTAAGGTTATGATTGGGGGAGGGGAAGGTTAAATCGTGGAATAATGTCCGTGTGACCGCGGCCGTCAAATACGGATGCCAGCGGTGCCACGTGTCCATGCGTGTCCATGATCCAAAGTGACTGAAACATTAGACTCTTTTGGGATTTTCTCACTGTAAAATTCTCACTATATTCTTACATACTGCACCTTTAATATCATTTAAGATAGTTGGAGCTTGATGGACTCATTTCCTCTAAGTCACAAATCTAAATCGATGGTAAATTATTGCTGAAGCACACATTTTCAGTTCTGAGATAATTTCATTCACTGTTCACATGACTAAACAAATACACATCACCCCCCTCACCCTCTGAAACAGGCAAACGAATAGAGACGTGATGGAAAAAATATCGGTTGTTAATATCGGCCCAGTTTTATTTATCGAATCGATACCGATATGTTAAAAAATGACTAAAATCGGCTGATACCGACATTGATGCCGATATATTGTCCATCCCTAATATAAAGTTTGTGGTCCAAACGCGTCTGGTTTGTTCATGGTGAACCAAGCAGAAATTACAACATTTACTGGTGACTTCACTACAGTACACTACAGTAGTGCACATCCAATATCACTGTTTACCTGGTGGAAGGAGGGGAGGTGAGGGAGCGCCGCCCCAGAGCCACTGGGTTAATGTTGTAGTAGCTGGGACTGCTGTCCAGCTCAGCCAGTGAGAAGTTAGGCCCCGACGCCGTGGCTACAGGAGCTGAGGGGACGAGACGTGGAAAAACAGAGACAAAAGAAAGAAGGTAGACAAAAGCAGAAATAAAGCCCCCATTAATGATATATATTTCAATTGTTTAGCAGGGGAAACAAACCTAAAGGCCAAATAACTCCATTACAGGAAAACATATACTTACTCTGTGACACTCTGACGAGTTCGGCCACATTCCAAACACCTGATGTGACGAAGCAGTCCTGAAAGCTCAGGTGTCCTGTACAGACCAAAACACTATGAGTTCGTAAAAATACTTGAAACACAACAAGAAAAAGCAGAAACAGCAACAATTCATAGAGTTGTGTTGGCAACCTGCAACTCTTTGGGTCAACACCTGTGAGTGTGTGTTCTAATTAGAGCCATACATCTACCACCATTAGACTGGTCAGTTCTAACGTGGTGATTTAGGAGTGTTTAGAGGTGAGGGGCCTACCATTGGGCGGTGGTTTGATGTCTGTGTCTCCCTGTTGGCTCGAGCTGTCTGATTGTCCAGATTCTACAAGTGAAAACACAGAAAAAGGACAAACTGGTTAGCATGTGGTTTTCAGGTTTAATAACTTAAAAAAAACACTATCTGGAGAATATTTTGTGTCTCACTGAATCATAACTGATGATGCCAAGACCGTGGTACTTTAGGTGTGAGAGAATTAAAAAAAGACCTGCAGTATGTGCTAGAGTATGCTATATATCTTGTGAATTTAAATCTGTGAGAATTCACACTATTTTGTGCGTGCACGCATACGCGTGCGTGGCAGTCTTGTGTCTCAGAATGTTCCGAGTCTGCTGCCCTGCACAATCCAGGTGTTCTGCAGTCTGCTACTGCAGCATTTAGCATCTAACCAAGCAATCAGATCACCCGCTTTAATCCTGTTTAATACTTTTCTGCTTGTAGGGATTTAGTCTGCATCAACAGAGCACCTTACACACACATAAAACATGTGTCCCCTCTCTCAATCTGTTACTCCTCTAGTTTTTGCTCCATACTCTTGTAATCCTTGCAAAAACACACACACACACTCATAGAGGGAGACACACAGATCAAGTTTAAGTTGTGTTGCAGGAGATTCACAGTATTTTTGTTAACTTTGAGGCACCCTTGTCATCAAAATATGACGGAGAAAAACACATTTGCACCACAAGATGAAACGAGAGACAGTGTGTGTGTACATGTGTGTGCATGCATGTGTGTGTATGTGTGTGGATGCGTTGTGCTCCACATGTTTTTCCAGTTCTGGACTGTTTTGCTTTTCCGGGCCTTGCGAGGATGCAGCTAGCTAGCTAGCTGAAGGAGGTGTTTATCTGCAGGCTGTAGGTGATAACAGAGCACACAGATTCCTACCAGCAGCACTTGCCTTGCAGCCACAGTAATCCACAGATTACTGAGCAGAAACAATAACAGACCTGTCTAGCTGCCTACGAAGCACTGCTTATCCACGGAGAGGGAGAGAGAGAGGGTTAGACAGACGCGGACAAGAGCAAGAATGAAGCAAAGAACGAAACAGCAAATGAAACAGAGCTTCTCTCGCTGAAGCTCTCGCTCCTCTGTGCGTCTCTCACTGGCTGGGTGTAATCCTGGCAGCCATCTTAGAGCTTGGCAGCCATCTTAGCATTGGCGGTAGTGCAACATTCCAGCTAACTGACAGCACTCGCTCCAAACATACGTGGCTGTGCCCCCACCGCCCATGCACCCAGACATATTGAAAATCACACACTGGTACGTGAACAAACACCGAGGTGCACACTCAGAGTAAACATATATGGTGGCCAATGAAAGCTGTGGAGACAAACAACCCGACTTCACTGGACTTTTTACCGCTGTGCAGTATTTCACTCTGGAACTCTACATCATGATAAATACTCCTTTTCTCACACCACACACGCAACACTCAGCATCTTCACTGTATGCGGTGTGCCTGAGAAATCTCCCACACTGCCTTGTGTAGGTCTAGAATCCCAAAACCAAGGACTTTCTCAAAGAGAAATGTGCTGAGGAGTATTTTCTCTGCAGGAATCCAAACTTTAAATTTACTCATTTTGATTTGAATCCGGCTGCGTTAAAGCTCCCACTCCCTCATTATTTCAATTCATTTGCTGTTGTACAAATGAATTCATTCAGTCGTTCTCTAGAGAAAAAGCCTTCGTGCTAATGTTTCAGTCAGTAAAGGCTAGCCGGAGTGTGTGGGTGGGATTTGGAGTCTTATTCATTATTATTCATGATATTTGAACATTGAATTGGCAAACAGCAATGCAACTCTACCACTGACTTTGTTTGCTCCGCAACATTGATGTTTTATCTTAACAAGTAACACAAGCCTGAAGGAGTTCTGCTTTGTGGTGGAGTTGCTAATGCTAACGGTTAGCTTCTACTAGCCGAGACATTGCTCTGCTCTCTCCAGGACACTAAACAAACAACAGCCTTCCTCGTCATGAGCCAAGATGCGAGTCCATGAATGTTAATTTTCAGTGTGACGTAGATCTGTGACTTTTTCCCCATCTGTTTTCTATCAGCAGCTATTCAGGAAATACGATTAGAAGATTATTAACTCATTCACTGCCAGCCGTTTCCTGATCAATAAAGCTCTTCGCTGCCAGCATTTCTCACCGTTTTTACTGTTTTTTTAAGAGTCACAGAACGTTGCATGCTTTAACGATATTGACGCCCAAACTACCAAAACAACGAGGAGACTCACCTCTTACATAAGGAAGAATCAGCGCGTTTCAGTCATTATCCGTTCTTTCATAATCCGTTGTTGGATTGTGATCGGCAGAAGCTTTTCCGGTTCGCGCCTCACTTTTTTTACAGCAGCGACCCAAAACGATCTCCTAACACATGGATGTTCCCGATGCTTCCCGATCACGTGACGTGTGACGTATGCGGATGAAGATCAGCTTTAGCGCTGAGATGTTTGTTCTCATGGTGTGGGGCCTCGTTCCGACGCCCACACAGTAAAAAAAAATGTAAATGACGACTTTAGTCGTCAATGGCAGTGAATGAGTACAAAAAAAAGAAGTAAAAAAAATGTTGTTCAAACTGAACTTGCTCTTTAAATGTTAGTGGGAAAAAGTCGTTAACATTAATTCATTCTTAATGTAAGTATCTGAAGGGGCTTCTGCACAATTGCACAACGCAGTAGCTAAGCATCAACATTTAAATTATTCACATTTCAGGTCTCTATTCTAACTTGTGATAAAAAGTCTATTAGAAAAAGAACTGATTAATCATCTAAACTACAGATCTAAGAAAATATCTATATGGCAACATATATTGTGATATTTTTCCTGTGTTATTACATTGATATTCAAAAGCCGTGCTTCTAATTTTTAGAATAATTTACATGCATTTTGGTGCAATTCAAATGCCGACAGCTAGTTGGCAGCAGTGTGCAATGGGTTTTGTTTCCACCACTGAAATGTAAATCCCTCTATTATGGTTCAGATACCTCATGTTAAACATATTAAGTATCAGTTTGGACTGTTTATTGAGTATTCTTACAATAAATTCAGTCAAAAAAAATCGCTAATAACATCTTACAGAATGTATCGCAATATATCGTGATGCATCGTATCGTCTCCCCGTATCGTGATACGTATCGTATCGCCAGAATTTCACCAATACACATCCCTAATTTAAACTCTTTCACACTAAATTTACAATTCCATAACATATAACGGAACATCTAATTGACATTATTTTGTTCCAATAGCTTAAAAAATCACAATTTAAAGTCACAACCACATGCAGCTGATTAATGCAAAAAAACAAACAAACTGATTTTCTGTGTAAATGTCCTCTTTTGTGAACCCTCTGTACTGTAAATCTTGTCTGACGCATCCATGTAACTGAGAGTTAGGGTATCATGATGTTAAATGTGATCAGGATCTATTGGTGAAGACAAGATCTTCTGAAATAAACCCACATTTTTCTCACTCCTATATGTTCTGTCATCTTGCATCTCAGTCACCATCGTCTGAGCCAGCTGGGCATTTGGGATGGTGAGGGTCCATGTGATTGGAGGCAAATGCAGGCCACTTGCAATAGGATGGCTATAGATGTTGATATTCTTTAATATTTAGATTTGAATTAGGATTGTGTTGTTTTGTCTATTTTATTTATTTGTTGTGTTGAAATTTGACCCCGCAAAATCAAAGTACTGACTGATTGAGATTTCCGACACAATGCATTTGTGCAGCTCTACTCAACATGTGCCATTACAAAAGTACAGAAACGGAATTTCCTGTTTGATAAGATCCTGTCATGCAGAAGAGTTTCGTAGTCTTCGTAGTCATTATTCCCGCTGGACAGGGTGATATCCAGAGTCTATGGTTGTTCTTCCAAAGGTTCCTCTAAATTTTTTCTTTATGGGTGAAAAGTTGAGCTAATTTGACCTTCTTAACAAAGTTTACAAAGCTCAAGGACGGCAGAGTGAGATAATTCAGCTGGATAGGGGAGCTTTTCAGCAGTTGTGAATTTACTGTTCTCATCACCGGAGCCAACAAACACCGTGTTTACAACACATCACTACATCACTCACTGGAAACGGCTGCTGCTGCGGAGTTCACCAGTGCATCCTATAGCTGCATAGGGAAGTGAGGAGGACAGGCTGACAGGGAGGTAAGACAGAGGTCTGGTTGGTTATCACAGCTCTGCAAGCTGCAGGATACAGCGGCAGTCACCACCCCCCTACGTCCCTGCCCCCACCCAGCCTGTGAACCGCACACCCAGCCCCTTATCTTCTCACCGCAGCCCCCTAAAGCCCTCCCTTCAGCGACCCCAATCAGAGTCCTGCAGCCGCCTTCCCTCAGACGCCCCGCTGCGTCCACAGCCAGAAAACACATTTCTAACCTCAAATCTTTCAGCCAACTCTGCAGCCCCCTGAAAACCAGCGAATTAAAAAACAATAGGCACAGATAAAACCAGAGCGTAGCTCGTGTACAAGAACACAAGCTGGGCTCATCTTTAGATTTGTTTTATGACCCTTAAATAAACATTAGGAAAATTAGAGGCTGATTAATCTACTTGAAGTGTGTTTAGGAAAGAAATTTTAATGCATGCTCCGTCAGCTGGTATCCATGGCAGGACACGGGTCTGTCAGACAGCAGTAAGAGTGTAGAATATAAAGGAATTTATGGGAATTCCCTTTAAGGCAGCAATCTGGAGTTTCCCCCTTTCAGTTTCCAGTTTTCAGGAACTATGCACGATTTTTTAGAGCCCACAGAGCTCCATGCAATTTGAATAGAGCGCCACTCTGCATAAGCCAATAGCATTCATATATATATATATATATATATATATATATATATATATATATATATATATATATATATATATATATATATATATATATATATATATAAACCCTAACCCTAGACGTTCACAAGCAAGTTCATGAAGGAGAGGCGTTGCTTTCAGCCAATAATCACAGAAGTAGAGATGGGCTTAAAAGGTGCAATACATTTTCTGCCTTTAGATGGCCCCCTCTTAAGCCGGGCGTACAC